GGGGAGGTGGAGAAGCCCTCAGGGGTGATCACGGCCAGCAACTGCTGCTCGCACCTGCTGATGGTGCCGAGAGATCAAGACTGGCGCCAGCAGTGGATGGGCACTGTGGCTCCAGCGCCTACAGCAGGTGTGAGCACCTGGTGGGACTGGCATATGGGAGCAAAGAATTTTCAGTAACCACCAGAGGCTCACCCTGATGACAGTGACCGGCGCCCCATCTTGGTCTGGTTCCCCCACTCACCTGCTCTACCATCCTATCACGGTGACGCCTGCCATGTTCCATGCATGCTTCCTTGCCGGAAGCCGGTCCATCCTTGCTGCTTGACACAGTCGCTGCAGGAAAGAAACATCTGCACAGCATATGTTTCAAGGGACCTGGCGTATATAGCATACTGTTCTTAATATGTTTGCTCCCCTTAGCGCTGTGTGTTTTAACCAAGGTCACCTCTCCAAGAAAGGTTGTTTCCCCAGGTAGGAATTTTTCCCTGAAGTCAGGGAGGGGATGCCTCTCCTAGAAAGGTTGTTTCCCCAGGTAGGAATTTTTCCCTGAAGTCAGGGAGGGGATGAAACTCCTTAACTAAGTGCCAGGCGGGTAGTTAATCACTACAAACAATCATGCTTAAGCTACATAATCTTTACTCCCTGGAATGGAGATAAGAAATGCCCTAACCTTTGTAATAGAAATTGACAGGATTAAAATCAACTGGGATAAATACGGATGTAACAAGACAATAAACAGCAGAACTTCGCTGGAGATCCAGACCAGAACTTGGCTGGAGATCCTGGCTGGAGATCCTGGCTAGGCTGCTGATCAACTGAACACTGTCTCTGTGTCCTTCCTTCTTCGCTGACTCCGTCTACACCTTTGGGGACCCCTGGACCTGCTGGGGTTGGACCCCGGCACTTCCTGGTGGTCAGCACACATCATAGTGACCGGTTGTTCAGTTGTTCGGTTGTTCCACTGTTCGGTCTATTTGCATATTAGGATTTTATATATATAGACACTTTTTTTAAAAACATTGAATCAAATGTGTCAAAAATACTAACAACTTTTAATACTGGGTGGTAGGTTCATGGATACTTGATATATGTTATTTGTATTTCTCTGTATTTTTAAATTTCACAAGAAAAAAACAACAGTGGAGTGGCTATACTTTCAATAAATTAAGACTGCATGTTATCCAGATAACTGTTCTAGTTATATTGGAAATTGGAAGTGTGAAACACCACCATCTGTTAAAGAAATCTTGACATCCATGGATAGCACAGAAACATCAAAGACTAATGTTTAAACCAGATGAGAGCAGATATACTAGTACTTGAGGACATTTGATGACTGCAATAATTCAGCCAATACATCCTGGAAACAAAGATCAGATTCCAATAGAGAGTCAAAAAGGAACATCTAGATTTTCAGATGAAATTATCAATGATATTGATTAAGGCACCATATATGGCTTTTCATTAATTTTTTTTCTGGGTGGCAATAAAAGGCCTTTTTAGCAGAAAAAATAGTTAAAAGTGTAAGCTGCTCTGAGGAATCCTTATGTATATATTCTAGTATGTACTATGGGATTAAAGTGTTAAATTTGGAGCGGGGGAAAACAGCAACATTTGAAGAATTGCAGCTTAAGCCCCATCCCCCTCAACTAGAAATGAATTGCTGCTCTGACTGGTCTTTTCATCTTTTGTGCAGACAAATTCATTAAAAGGCACTTGCATGACGTGAGGCTATTTCCTTGCTGAACTTTTGTGCCGGAGACCTGCTGAGGACTGACTATAGTGAAAATTTCTGAAAGTAAGTGCATGCTGTGTAAGTACTTCCCTAGGTAAGTAATGCCCCAATTAATAAGTAATTGTGCAATAGTGAGGTCATTTTTTTCCATTGAAAAAAGTTATTGCTGTACTTGTGTTCCAGTTCCAGCCATTGGATTGTCCAGCAGGTAAATCTACAAATTATAAGTCCCAATATTGATCTCTATGAGCTTGTAGATATTAGAATTTTCAGATAAAATGAAGTGTGGAGCTTTATTTATGAATTCAGTTCAACCAACTTAGTTTTTACTAATTCCCAGATATTTCGTAAGGCACTAAAAATACAAAATTGGAAATTATATTTCAGACTTTTTATCTGGTTGTCAACAGCAGGGAAGACAGATATGTAAACACACATTTATAGTTTAATGAGATGCTAAAAGATAACATGGCATTGCACAATTTTAAGCCCCACAAGGGCAGAGGGTTAGACCACATTTTGCTTTTTCACCACTATCTTCTCAGAACTTAGCCTAGTGTTTAAAGCATTGAATATATTGAATAAATGTTTAGTTTATTAATGAGCAAAGGTGCTACAGATCAGAATGTACTTACTAATAGAAGCCCTTTTTCTTTATTATGTGTTATCAAGGACAGTTGGTTAATCACCGAGTTTAAAGTGGGTACTTAAGAGAGTACATATTAACATAAGCTTTTTCTCCCCAATGAAACATTGTTTTTTTGTTTGGTTGCTTGGTTTTCTGTTTTACCAATCCTTTGAGGAAAGCTCAAGCCTTTTTGTGTGTCTAAGCCCACCGATTGGAAATCTGAGGCTTCCTTCTTGTGTAAAGCACATTTATAATGAATCTTTGACGATTTTCAGTTTCAACATATTTACTGAGCAGTGAACACAAAAGGACTCTTTTGAAGCACCCGAGGTCCCTATTCCTCTACATTTTTCATTGTTTTCCCAAAATTTTATGCTTATTTTATCTATTTAGTTTTCACATTTTTTTTTGCATTTTTGAAGACTTAACTTCATCAAGTCTTCTCAAAAATAGCATTCAAATTAGTTTTAAGATAAACACATCCTTTGCCCATGCACATTTTGTTGGTTTGGTAAGCTTTAATTAAATTGTGTTATCATAATAACACACCCCCTGGTCCAGTGTTTTGAAGTGACATGCCGAGATGATGGGAGAAGCCAGCGGCAGCACTGTAGAGCACCCCAGAGAGGGCTGCCCTTGGTGGGTGGAGGGCATGTTACAGAGTGAGGGGCATGCTGGTTAATACGGAGAGTTGGGGAGTGGACATTGGCAAGAGAGACCATCTGAAGGCAGATGAATGGATGCCAAGCTGAGTTTAAAGATGATTAAGATGTGCTAGGTAGACTGGGAAGAAACTCTCAGATGAGAGGGCCACTCTTGTAAAGACACAAACCTCGTAAGTGAACTGTTTAGGGGGATCTGGATCATTGGGATGAATCCTTCTCAGGACTTGCTTTTACCTATGCAAATATAACCAGGATTTTCAACCCAGACTCTCTTAAGGGGATAAAAATCCTTATTTACAATAAATAATTGAGATAATTAATATAGTTGCTCTCTTCATCAGTTTACTACTGAAGACACCTTTTTACAGAGTTAATGTTTGACTGTTTTGGGGGATAAAAGGAAGGACGGGGCAAGGGGGAAGGGAAGAGGGAGAAACATACACAAATTAATTCAAGGCAAAGTTATTGTACAAGATAAATCTTGACTTACTTGGTACTCTACCCCTGGAAAATTTTCTAGAGGTCTTTTGTCTCATTAAAATTGAAAGAGCAACTTCAGAAATTATTTTGATTATTCAGATATATATTCACCCACTTGCCCACACACATGCACACATATATGTTCAATTTCTTTTAAAAATATAATTTTATTTTAAAATATGACTGCAAGATCTTGCATAAGCTCAGAATTTCAGTATTATTATATGTAACACATAAAAAATGATCATCATATTTCAAGACCATACCTAAATTTCCATGAAGAGCTTTCCCCAGAAAAACAGCATTTCATATGAGGCCTCGTAAGATTTACAGATTTATTATTGTCAAATTATTAAAAAGCTATAGAAAAGTGAAGATTGTCCCTTAATTGAAAGTTTTGCTTTAATTGAAAGGTTATAATTTTGTATTTCAATGAAGGAAAGTGCATGAGCTGAATAAAAGGTTATTGTACAGATTGCTAGTTTTTTTTTTTAGGGTTTCCAGCAAATTCTTTTCTTATGATGCTTAAATTCTCCTATCAGAAACCTTTCTCATGTTTAAGACACCTCATTTTTGTAGTGGATTTTAGAAGGCCTCTTTTAACTGTACAGAAATATTTTCTAAAAAAACATGGAAACAAACAAATAGAAAACCAGATCATGGAAACAAATCTTAATGAAACAGTCATTTTTGCTTTTAGAGCTCCTTATTACAACGACAGAAGATGTGTTTTAACGCTTTCCTCAATTTATTTTTTGACAAATAAGTGTTTTAATTTAATTTGCATCAAAATAAAACATGCACATGTTTTTTAAAAGGTAAATATTCAGATGAGGAGAAACAGATTTTCTGTCCTGTCCTTTTTTTTACACTTTGTTTTAAAGTCTGTAGCCATTCTTTCAGGAATTTACCTTGTCATGTTCTTTTTAAATAACAGTATCATAATGTTATTTTTTTTGTATTAAACATTTAGATATCTATGGATTTTGACTCTGATAGATGAGAATTTAATTCTCTAGCACATCTCTCTCCCATTTTCCCAAAATACCTATATCATAATCCTTCCTTAGGTCAATATTTATGATTTCTATTATTATGACTTACTAGAGGCCTAGTGCATGAATTCATGCATGGGTGGGGTCTGGCCATCCCGACCCCGATCGGGGCCCAATCAGGACCAGGCCAGCAGAGGGGGAGGGGCTACAGGGGGGTTGGCTGGCTGCCCCGCCCTTGATCAAGGTGGAAGAGACCAATTGGGAGCAGGGCTGGCAAGGGGAGGGGCCATGAGAGGTTGGCTAGCTGGTCTCACCCCTGATCTGACCAGTTCGCTGGCTGCAGTGGGTGCCATAGTGACTGGTCATTCCGGTTGTTACAGCGTTCCAGTCGTTGGCTTTATATATATATATATATATATATATATATATATATATATATATATAATTATTATGCACAAGGGAGCCACTTTGGCCATTATTATAATTTTTTGCATGCACATATTTTTGTCTCCCTGTAGTTAATAAACCCTTATTTTATTTCTTGTTTGCTGAGTTGACTCTGTCTATACTGCTAATTTTTCTTTAAACTCACCACAAGAATAGTAAAACTCTGTTGGTAAACACCATTGCTTTTCCTTTGGGAGTCCTCCATCTTGGAGTTTTTGTTTTCCTGCTGTAGTATGGGAGAGTTGCACTTGGATCCACTCAGAAGTTCTCATCTAGGACTTTTCATTACCATGCTGGTGAATTCCTTTTGCCTCTCTCCTATCAAAGTTTGTTCCAGGGGTCCCATGCCTTTTCTCTCAGTGCACTCCCTTGCTTTTGTGGACCATATTCCTTCTTCCTTTGGAGTTTCCTAAGAAGGGTACACAAGAAGTAAAAATTATGAGACTGAATTTAGGAAAATAATTTTGCTCTCCTTTACACTTTTTTTTCTAAGTTGGCTGAGTATGGAATTCTATAGTAGAAATCAGTTCCTCCAGGGTTTGAATGCACGGATTCATTGTGTTCTAGCTTTCAGTGTTGTGAAGAAATCCAATACCGTAATGATTCCTAACATTTTGTATATGACTTATTTTTTCTCTGTTAGCTTTTAGATTTTTACAAAGCACACCTAGTGTTCTGAAATTTCTGGTAGGGTGGCTTGTTCAGGTTTAATTTTCTTCATGTTTTGGGTACTTAAGGACTTGTTTCAATCTACAAACCACTGTCCCTCAGTTCTAGAATTTCTTTTTTATACCCTCTGCTATATTTCCTCTTTCCCTCCATCATTCTTGATGGGCATATGTTGGATTACCACTTAGGAATGCATTCAGACTATCCACAAGTAAGAATATAAAAATCAGGATTTTTCACACATTACAAGAAGTGTGGATATAGGCTCAGAGTTGACCACAGCCATAGATCTGTAAGATTCTCAGACTTTTCTTCATCTGTGTCAACCTATTAAGAAAAGATGACTGCGAGTATCATATCTGCTTTCCATGCTTGAAAATGAGGAGGGAATTGGGTGAAGGGCCATGCAGGCCAATTTGTTTCCTTTAATCTGAAAAGTCAAATATTGTATAGATGGCCCCATACAGCCAACCTCCATAATAGTGCCATAGGGTCTCCACTAGCCCAACCACTGGCCAAAGCCACAAGATTACCAGTGTTGATGAAGACCAATCAGGACTCCTCTTGTGGTGGTTGGATTGAAATTGTGTATTTGAGTGGAGCCTGTCAATGCTGAGCTCCACTGTAATGTGAGGACCCAGCTGTTTTTGTTTGGAGATGCCCAGCAACCAATCCCTGTTTCTCTAATGCTGAAGGATATGGGCTCACTCCAGGAATCTCAAGAGAAGGAAGAATGTGACAGGATGAAACTGGAGAGCTGAGCAAGAGCAAGATCATGTAGGATCTTGTGCTAGAAGACTATGGGAATGCAAAAATGTGCAGTGCACAATTTCTATCCTCAGGGAGATTACAGTCCAACTGGAAGAATATGCATTGAAGAAATCTTGATAAAATGCAGTGTTAAAACACCAGAGTCCATATTCCTAGTTGCTGTTGTTAATTTTCCATATAATAGTCTTAAAAGAAAAGAAAATGTTCTCAGGCCTCATTGTCACCAAAACAATAGGCACAACTGTCAAAGGCCAACTGGAGGTGATTAAGGATTCTTCTATGGTCCATTGCTCTGGGACAAAATGATGTGCAAGTGTTCAGGCCAATTCCTAGTGCTTGTAGTTGACCTGAAACCTGCAAGACTTAATTCCAAGTGTTGAATGGATCTTTTTTTTTCCCCCACAGCTCTCCCTTTTATCCCATAAGAGAATTGGTTCAAGCTCCTGACTCCTTACAGGGGCTGTCTATTTCAGATACATTTCAAACACCAGAGCTGCCATATCAGTCCCAGAGAGGTGCCTCCAGACTCCATTTCACCTGAGAGAAAAGTAAACTATTATTTTTAGGTCACAGTTATTTATGCTTTTCATCATATACTACTTAATCTCATCCTATGGGATACAACATATAAGTAAAGTAATTGCTTAGCTGATGAATACTGAGCATTTTATATATTTGAGTAGATAGAAGCAAATTAATTAAAAATGTCTGCAAATAAGAGACAAGAAAACTTTACTATATCAGTAAGTAGTATTACTTACTACTATATCATTTGTTTAGTAATACAATTCTATATTTAAATAAATATGGAAGTGAGAACTCAGTGAATATTTAAATAAATGAATGCCCAACTGTAGCAGTGCTGAATCATTGCCAGGGTCAAGCAGAGGTTTCACTTTAGTACCACTTTAATATAGATTTGGTTATTCAACATCTAAGTTTGGTTATTCAACATTACATATATATATATATATATATATATATATATATATATATATATATAATGAATACATATGCATCTATAATATATCCCTTACTTTTAGTTAACATTTAATATATATTTTAAAAATGAATATATTTTAAGGTGAAATTTATCATGGAAGGTATTCTTGGTGGAAAACAATAACAAACAAAAGCTAAGGAATAAAAATATCTGATCAGCTTTGTAGTTTAGAGCCTTATAATTTATATTCTGGGTAAAATGGGGGGATGCACTGAAAGGTTTAATAGAATAGAGACATGACCAGCTCTATACTTCAGATAGATGAGTTCGATGGCCATGTCAGGGATGGGTTTAAAGGAGACCAGAGAACCAGAGGAAATACATTCTATGGAAGTTTCTATAAGGACAAGAGAAGGCGTGGGTCTGAGAAATATTTGAAGAACAATCCACAAGACTTAGTGACTGATTTTAGGATCAGGGTGAAGAATAGAAAGGTGTCAAGATTCCTGGGCAACTGGATGGCTTTTAGGACCACTCACTGAGACAAGGAATAGAGGGAGAGCTTGGGGTGATGGGGTGATGAGCTAAATTTTACACATGATGCTCATGGGATATTCAGGAGGGGATACTGAGCACACAGATAGAGAGATAAATGTAAAGTTTTCTTTAGAAATTTATCTATAAACATATAGATAAATATTGCCACATATGTCTGCATACACACACACACTCATAGCTACATGTAACTATATATTTATATGTTAAGATGCAGTTTATCTTATACCTATATATAAATAATTTTATCAGTAAGAATCATTTATTTAACCTTATATGAAAATTGAGTCCCTGTTTAAGTATCAAATTCATACATATAAAATAGAAATAACTATATATCTACCTGAAGCTTTATCTGTGTGTAAATATTTCATAGCCATAACACACACATATTGATATTCTAAAATTTAACAATTTTACATCATATTATGAAGTGCTTGAATTCAAAATTCTGCAAAACTCTTAGATTAAATACAAATATAAAGTATGAGAAGTTCATGCAATAATAGGGAAGGAGAGAAGGGAGGTCGACTTTATCAATACAGTGACTCAGTTGGGTAACATGAGAATGCTGACAGGATAAAAGCTTTAATCCCATACATCAAAACACAGTGACTCCAGGAGTCTACAACCTTGACCTGGAGTAAAACTGAGAAGAAAGTTTTGGTTGCCAGACTGTGCAAATTATTTTTAAAAAGCAAGGGATTTTCAAAAATAAATGCTTTCTTTGACAAGCCCATTTTCTGCACCAGATATAGGGTCCAAGTTACTACCAAGAAAAACAGCCTTGCTTTAAAACCTGTTATTTTTTGGGTATTCTACTTATCAACAGCATGAAAAAGGAAGATTATGTTGTATCCCCACCTTGTGGCTCTAATATGTAACATTAGACATAAAAAGCTAATTCTCCCATTGGAAATATGTATCTTTTTCATTGACTTAACCTACAATTTGTTAACCAAATCACTCACTTTCTACTGGAACTCTCACCTGGCATGCACTACCACACACACGCCACATACTAACAGACTTAATTATTGTTGATCACCTCACTTCTCTGTGGCTTTTCCAGTTTTCATTGGGCCAAGATTCAGACTTTAACCAGATTGCAATTTGGAATATAAAATCCAAAAGCATCCCTTAAATAACTCTCTTCTCCTCCACAAGTTTATTTTTTTTTCCATTTTCCCTCCAAACTCCCCCAGAAATGTACCTCCCTTTGGTGAAAGCTTAATATTTAACCAATCAATTTTTGAGTATTTCTAATTTTCACCTGAAAAACTGAATCTTTGACTTACATAAAATGTCTCGGTGGGTAGCCATGTGCATGACTACAACTCTTTAACATTTACCAGCTTCTGTGCAAATCAGGGAACCCTCAGTCTCAAACCTTATCCTCCCTGAGCTTCATACCATTGCCAGGGTAATGGTGAAAACAACGTGGGTATCAGGCACCATCTGGCAGACAAATCATGAAGTCTGTAGTCACATCTACCCTGCTCGGGGATCGATGTACTAAATAGAAATGAATGTAGCATGAGTTCTTCTTTGAGAGAAACATCAGCGATGTTGACATGCATTTCATTCATGATACCTGAGAATGTGCAGGCCATTTTGGATAGAATTATTCATGGTACCTTCTGAGATCAGCAAGGGCAGAGCTATCTGTAGCTCATGAAACTGGAATCTTAAAGCAATAGCAGCGACGTGCCTTGGATTGTGTGGGAAGTTGGAAGGCTCAGGAACCGGGAAGGCAATAATTAATAAATTTTGTATTTAAAGAAGAAAAGAGAAATCGTGGTTCTGTCATACAAACTATGGGTGATAAAGCTCAAAGGGGAAACTCTTCCTGGATGACAGCTAGGAATCTCTATCAGGGAGCGAAGATGCTGAGATTATCATATTTATCAAAAGAGGCCAAGGATTAAAACTACCATGAAACACTGATCTAAAGAACAGGGAACCCTCTGCCTAGTTAAGACTCCCCATTTTAAACCTCCACTAGATCAAATATGGTATATTAGAACATGGATTGGTACCCGGGCCAGAGAGAATAATCAGGCCATAAATATGATCCTTTAATCATATTTCCAAATTTCACAAGAAATCATTTAGTGTTTACATTTTTCCTCTGTGTTATGACACATGCTATTGCATTCATTCTCTATGAGCAAAGCTGTTGTAAAAGTTATTTTTAAAAATATATTCCATTTCTTTTCTCCATGAAGGTAATAAATTCTTAGTAAAAACAAATAAAAGCACACATGGATGAAGAGAAAAGTGAAGGTCTTTTATGGAGAGTGAATATTAGACATGGATTGAGGGTCATGGCTTGAAACCACAGGTGCTTCACATCTGCTGGGTCCAATTTGTGGCGGCTCCAGCAAAAAGCCTGTTTTCAAGTATTTGACTTCTGCGGTCATCATAGGGCCTGCCACTAGGGGGCAGACAAGTCTGGTTTTGTCATTGAGCCTTCTGCAAGTGGAATTGAGGCTTCAAATTGTTTTTGCAGAACTGACAAGGAAGCAAAACAACAAGCCTTGTCGATTTATTAAATTTAAAAATAAAAAACAACAACAAAGGAAAACTGGGCTATGTAGTTTTGCTCAATTCAATTAGAAACACTGAGGGCTATACATTTTTACGTGTATGCATATGAGCAGAACACCCCAGTGAAATAGTGCCTCAGGGTGAAGATCCCAGGATAAAATAAGTGAGATACAAGAGCCAGGCAGCAGGGCACTGCACCATGCACAAAGGCCTTCTGTCTGAAGCCAGTGTGGCTGGAGGTGGGTGTCTCAAGGGAGAGTGGCCACATGATGTTGGAGAGGTAGGCTAGGTCATGCCAATGTAATCCAGTGTGAATAGCAGTCCTCGAGAAGTGCAGGTATTCCCCTTTCCTGCTGTATGAGACCCTTCTGATGTCAACAGTCTCCTCTGGGAAAGGACAGGATGAGATTGATACAGACAGGAGGCACCATCATGGCCCCTGTGGAGTGAGCGCATATGGGATGGCTTAATAAGCGGAACTTAGCCCAGGGCCAATTCTCAGTGTGTCTATGGATCACACCGTGGTAATTAACTGAGCCCCCAAATATATAATTGGAGTGGATACAGAGAGGGCCAAAGAACAAGCACAGACTAAGTTATACCTTGCAAATGCTAGGAATAAGAAAGCTGGTGTGACTATGCTAATGCCAGACAAAGCAGACTTCGAGACAAAGAGTAATGCCTGAGGTCTGCTGGGACATGTCATGATAATGAAGGAGGCATTTCATCAGAGGGCACAACAGTCATGAATGTACATGCTTTAATAAGACAGCTTCAGAATACACAAAGCAAAAATGGACAGAACTAAAAGCAGAATAGAGAACCTGTAATAAAAATTCAAGACTCGACACCCCTGTCTCTGAAAATGGAAGAACCAGACCCACAAAATTCTATGGAAGGATATTCAAATTTTTCAAGAGAATATAAAATGTTCACCAAAATAGACTATATGTTGGTCCATTAAATAAATTTCAAAACATTACAGAGAACCTTCTCTGACCACAATACAGTTAAATTAAAAATAAATGACAGTAACATATATAAAAAAGCACCAAATATTTGGAATTCATTGGCTAAAGAAGAAATTTCAAGGAAAATTGAAACATATTTCAAACTAAATTAATAATAAAAATACAGTATATCAAAAGTTGAAGGATGCAGCTAAGGTAGTGATAAGTAAGAAATGCTGATATTTGAAAAGGGTATAAATTTAAAGTCAGTGATCGAAATGTACCTTATAAAGCTAGAAATAAAATAGCATCTTTAACTTCAAGTATTAAAAATAAAATAGTCAGATAGGAGCAGAAACCATTACATAGAGAAAATTAAGAGCAGAATATGGTTTTTAAAAGATCAATAAAATTTAGGAATAGTACTAATCAAGGAAAAAAGAAAACAAAAATTACAAATATCAAGAGTGAAAGAGCATATCTCTACAGATTTTACATTAATTAAATGTAAATATTTAGAAATAAATAAAAAGATAGAAAAGGAATAGTATGAATAACTTTATGCCAATAAATTTAGAAACTCAGAGGAAAAAATAAAACCCCCCAAACGATACAAAAGATATAGAAAATGTTATTAAGAAGAATGAATTTGCAAAAAAAAAAAGATTAAATTTGCATCAAAAACTTTTCCACGAAGAAAAACTTCAAGTCCAGATAATTTCACTGAGTTATAGCAAACATTTCTATTAAACATATAACATGAAATTATGCCAACCTTCCACAAACTCTTTCAGAAAATAGAAGAGGAAGGAGCACGTCCTAACTCATTTTATGAGGCTGCTATCCCCCAGATATCAAAACCTAAAGTTTAAAAAAAAAAAAAGATTTTTACAGGAAAAGAAAAATTACAGTCCAATATCCCTCAAGAACATACAAGTTAAAATCTTCAAAGAATATTAGCAAATTGAATCCAACATACAAAAAAGGAATAGTTAATCTTAGTTTATCTGAATTTCAATTTTAACTGCCATCCTGTATTTTTACTTGATACATCTGGTAAACCCATGAGTGCAGGATACCTGGAGACATCCTAATGCTAACATTCCTTAGGCTGTTGGAATGTATGGGTTGGATGCTCAGGAGAGAGATCTGGCCTGAAAACCAAGGCAGGGCAGTAACAGTAATTTTTTTTTTTATTTTTCTAGATAATTATTCCACAAAGTAGGCATCACCATTTATTTTCAAACTATTTGTGACGTAGGCATTAGTGTGTCCCAGGAGATATCAGTTTGAATATCAATTTAAGTCAAAAGGGACACCTGTGCTCCCTTCATAGCACTGAAGGTCACCCTCCAGCTATCTTCCTATTACCAACCAATTTCATCAAAACACAGCACACACACATCCTGAAGCAAACACTGACAGCACATTATTTGTGTCAAATGAGCTTCTGAAATTACAGGACCAAGTTAGAAAAGCATACTGATTAATCTTAGAAAAGTTTCCCAAAATGAACCCTAAAACAACATCTTTAAAATTTAAGTAGAATATATTTCCTGACTACCCTAGACAATAGAATTTACTAGAAAGTGTTAGGTTAGGTGGCTCAGAAGGCGGCGTAGGAAATAAAGAATTGAGCGAATCAGAAAAGAAAGAAAAGGAAAAGGTTTTATTCTGCGTCCCAGGGCGGACCCACGAACCCCAAAGACAGGGCACGTGAATCCTCGCCAAGAGGGAGGGGGGCGCTTTTTTTGTACTGCGGTTGGGTGAGGGGCGGGGACATGAGCTGAGGCGTTCAGCTGAGAAAGTTCCCGCTGCGGGGGGTCAGCAGGGTATTCAGGAAGGAGTCAGTATCTGTGTGGGGGTCCTGTTGATTCAGGGAGAAGCCAGTATCTGTGTCTGGCACATTGATCTGTTTGAAATTCCAGGGAGGGTCCATTATCTCATCACACATCTGCATGTATCCGATCCTGGGCTCTCTCCGACCTAACAGAAAGTAAGTAAACATTTTCGAGGAGCAGATATTTTTAAAACCCAAAATAATGGGAGATATTTTGGTTTTTAAAAATGCTAATATCAATTGAAAATTATGATTTAATAGTTATCCTATTACTTGATTATGGAATCATTAAAAAAATTAATGATTTTATCCTAATGTTACTGAAGGCAAGAATCAGGACAATTTTTCAGAGTAGTAGGGTATCATTTGGGGGAGAAAATTGTACAAAGGTCATGGCCAATTTTTTCTTGGCTTGCCAGATTTGTTTTTGCATTCCTGCTGCCTTCAGGGCGAGTCCTGTCTGGTTACTTCTGCATTCCCAGAGCCAACAGAAGTGCTCAGGGTGCCTTTGTGTGAGCCTCCTTTCCACTGCTTTCTGTCCCACCTGCCAATACAAGACCTTCTGCCTCTGCAAAGTCTCTTCGGATTGTTTCTGGGCGTTACGAGAGAGGGCCTTGCCCGTGCTCTGAAACAAGCTCTGTTCACTACTGCCCTGTTGCTCTGGCTTTGTTCTCTAGCATCTGTGCTTTTTTTGAGTCCTTTTGGCTTCCATGAATGAGAACAGCTCTGTGCCGACCACTGAGGAGCTCCTTTCACCACAGTCCTCAGCCTCCCTCCAGGGTCTGCGGCCTCTGAGCTATCAGAGTGCACCAGGTTGTCTGAATTCCACTGTTCTCTGTACTAGTAGAAGTGGGGTGACAGATACTCTCCCTGTTTTGCATAATTATCTTTCTTCATACCAAAGCAATATTGTTTGTACCCACTGACTTACAGAGATTTTAGTAAAATACTTCGCTTGCTCTCCATCATCTTCATCTCCTGTAGACACTATAGTCAGTGCTAAGAGGCAACGGTGACATCTGCTGGCAAAGGGAAACATTTTCATCCACAGCTAATATTTTCCAGAGTTTATGAAATTCTTTGTGGTCAAGTCAATACAGTACTAAGCAATAACGGGTCTAATTGCTGATGGGCCAGAATTATTTTATTTTAAAGTGTTGTACTGTGTATTTTCACTGCAAAGCTTGTGATATTTACTATTTGAATCACTATATGAGATTCAGACCAAAATGGGTGAGCTGGTGAGGAAACCCCACATTTCTAGGATTTTTAAAAATTCAAAAATATTAATTTATCAGTTGTTTTAGTATTGTGTAGAACAAGTTTCAATCTCCAGCTCTATAAAGGCACAAAATAGCCCTGGCCGGGTGGCTCAGATAATTGGAACATTGTCCCATACATCAAAAGGGTTGGGGTTTGATCCCCAGGTGGGGCACATATGGGAGGCAACTGATTGATGTTTCTCTCTCACATGGATGTCTCTCAAAAATCAATTAAAAAATCATACGCTTGGGTGAAGATTAAAAAAAAAAAGACAAACAACAAACCATATTACACTCAACCATAGTAAAGTAGAATTATAATTAAATATGTGAACTCTAGAGCTACAGAGCCTAGGTCTGAACCCCAACTCTGCCAGTTAACAGCTATAACCCTGGATAAGTAACTGAATTTCTTTGTGTGCATGACTCAATCAATTTTCTTATCTATGAAGTGGGAATGAAGATAATAATATCTACCTCATGGGATTGTCATGAGTATTAAAAGAATGAATATGTACAAGTGTTTAGCATGGTTCCTGAAATATGGTAATCACTGTGTGAATTTTAAGTATTATTATTCTTTTTAAATAATGTTATGAAATGTTTCATATTAATTCTAAATTGTTATCTGGAGAAAGGTTGGGAGTGAAATAAATAAAACAAAGAATTTCAGAAATGTCATCTATTTCATCATAATCAACATGAAAGCAAAATGAACCTTCCAGGCAATCCTAAAGTTTACAGACCTTGAAAATTTAAAACTCGAAATTTTTTGCTTTATAAAAATTTTTACAAATTGTTTTATTTTCTCTAGCCATTGAATATACTAGAAAAAAATCAAGAGAAAAAATAGTTTTTTTGCATTAAGATAGAGTTCTCTTTCACTGAGAATTCCAAATGAATGGTTTGTTTTTATCTTTTTTTTAAAAAAAATATATTTTATTGATTTTTTTACAGAGAGGGAGAGAGATAGAGAGCTAGAAACATCGATGAGAGAGAAACATCGATCAGCTGCCTCCTGCACATCTCCTACTGGGGATATGCCCGCAACCCACGTACATGCCCTTGACCGGAATTGAACCTGGGACCCTTCAGTCCGCAGGCCGACGCTCTATCCACTGAGCCAAACCGGTTTCAGCGGTTTGTTTTTATCTTAAAAATAGCTTTAGCCTGGCCAATGTGGCTCAGTTGTTGAATGTCGACCCAAGAACCAGAAGATCATGATTTGCTTCCCCATCAGGACACATGCCCAGGTTTCAGGCTCGAACCCCAGTAGGGGGCGTGCAGAAGGCAACTGGTACTCATCATTGATGTTTCTATCTCTCTCTCCCTCTCCTTTTCTCTCTCTGAAATACATAAAAACATATATTTAAAGAAATAGCTTATACTTTAAGTATTAACAGATATTAAATTCCAAATTAAATAACATCTTAAATATAAGCAGACCCTCAAGACCAGGATATTAAATGGGATCATTTGAATCAGATTAATAAATTAGCAGAATTCCACAACTTCAAGTGTTTCATGGAGTAATTCAGGTCAGTTTCAGAATTATATTAAAAAACAAACTAGAATGTGTTCCAATATTATACTTGAACAGCAATTAACTGATAAACTGAGGTAAATCCAATTTTTACAATATTTGGATGAAAGCATGGAAATGAAGTACTTAATGTTCTACTGTATTTTGCTTTAAATATGAAACCATTTGATCCATTTGTAAATACTTTCATGGTAAATGTAGAAATGTGTGGGGCTTGTTGGTAATGTAATTAAACTCACATTCAAACAGGAAAATGGAAAGAGCTATCTACATGACAGCAAGCCCTGCATCCAGCACTCCAGCAGCCGCTGCTTCATCCAAGATACCTCTCTTGGTATTTTCAGCATATTCAATGGCCAATAAATATAGAACAATTTGAAAAATTCTTTAAAAAGCAAACAAAAATATCCCTGGAAGAGATGCTCCACTGAGCACAGGCTGTCAATTTGCTTGCACATTCAGGCCAGCCAGGAAGATGCTAGAAGAGTGATGGGTCTCATAGACTATTCGATGATGCAAAAGGTGACTCAAAAGAGAAAAGACTAAAAATATAACAAACACTCAAAGTTGCATACATTAGATATTACATGTAATATATAGTACATACATGATATATAAACACATATACAGGGTGTGGGCAAAACACAGTTTATTCTTGTATCGTTTTTCCATATGAACAGCTGTAAATTTGCTTTGCCCACTTCTATATAGAGAGTATTTTACATATATGTGTGTATATAAATGTACATACATATATATCACAACTAAATCACCACAACCTTGAAAACCTAGATAAAAAAATTAAATTTTTAGCCCTGGCCAGGTGGCTCAGTTGGTTGGAGCATCATCCCATACACCAAAAGATTTCAGGTTCGATTCCCAGTCAGGGCATATACCTAGGTTGCGGGTTTGATCCCCAATTGGGTTGCATACAGGAGGCAACCAATTGATGTTTCTTTCACACATCCATGTTTCTCTCTTTCTCTCTCCCCCCCCTTCCTCTCTCTCTAAAATCAATAAACATATCTTTGGGTGAACATTAAAAAAATAAAATAAATTTCTAGCAAAAATGATTTTTTTTAAATTGGCAGAAGAAATAGAAAATGAAAATGGGCTAAAAATCATTTTAATTATTGACATTGTAATAACCAAAGCACAAGGCCAAAACATTTGTGCAGATGCACCTCACCAAGCTTTCACAAATCAGACCATCTTCGCTGTCATTTGCAAATAGAAGTCAAAGAAGTCATGTTATTGAGTTTTGTTTGTTTGTTTTTACTGTTTCATGCAACCGTCTTTCAATCTCTACTCATAATAACAAACAGTATAAATTTTAACTCATATTGAAGGATTATCCCCATTTCCTCTACAACTGGTCTCTTAAAGTTTAACTGATACATTCAGATCTGAGGGTCTGACAGCAGCCTGGGCTTATGTATTCTTAATTCAGAACTGGTGCATTTGAAGGAGTAAGTCCTTAGCCACTCCCTGAGTTAGAGCTGCTGACCAACCCAATCAAAGCCAAGACATGAGATCATAACTTTCTGTATCTATTAGGTTTTATTCAGGCACATTATTGATCTGCGGGCAAACATGCAAAGAAGGTTCTTAGCAGGAGTGTCTTATGAAATCCTAATTATTTCAATAACCTGCCCTTATGTATTGTTCCAGCTCAGCCTAATTTTCACAATTGTCCAGCAGCAAGAATCACCGGCCAACCTTGGAACTGCGGGCCAACTTCTCGCTAATTCATAGATGGTTCAATATACACCATTTTCAAAGGGTCTTGGATATAAAACACATTGACTAAACTTACTTACAGCTGTGGCCCCCAAAAATGTGTGCTAATATTGTCTAAATCAGGCAATTTTCTTATTATAGAATTGTCCTTGACCCTAATTCATCAATATATGTAGCATAATGCTGTGCTATTACTCTCCATTGAAATGCTTTTAAGTTATAAAATGAATTTATTCCTTTATTTCACAATTGTTTATATGGCAAACTATAGACTAGACAGAGTTCAACTTGCCAGGAGAAAACAAGACAGAAAAGGTCCTTGTTCTTATGGAATTTGCAGTCTAATGTAAGAAGACAAACAAGTAAAAAAAAAACCACAGTTTCGTATCATAAATAAAAGGAAGTAAAGAAACAGAGTGATGAGAGAGTGATTTAATAGGCCTGAGAGGAAGTTAGATTGAGTGATTTGGGAAGACTTCTTGGAGGAGGTGGCATTTGAACCAAAATTGAATGTTGAATAATTGGAGTCATGGGAAGGTAAGGCAAACAATCAAGAAGCCTACAGCCCTAAGTTTGAAATGAACTTGTTGTGTTCCAGAAACATCAACAAGGCCACAATGCCTGGAAACAGTGAATGAAGAAAAGAATTATATGAAAGAATGCAGAAAGGTAGACGAAAATCCAGTCACATAGGGCCTTGTGAATCAAGATAAGGAGTTCTGTGAAAAACTGAGTCTATTTTGTGTTTTCATGCTAAATGAGTTTAAAGCAATTTATTATTACTTATAAATTATTACAAAAAAGAAATGCATCTTAGATTTATTCATAGGTTTAAGAGAATCTGTATAGGTCTCTTACATTTATTTGTTTCATTTGAGCTAGATTGGGGAGGTCAGAGCAAAATAATTGTCATAAGGGTAAAATTCAATTTCCCATGACAAACTTAGTTAATAACTTTAGTTGAACAAATGTGTGTTTTTTAAAACAAAACAATCTTACATATGATAACTTATAATAGATATTTTTAGTCTCAAGGATACATGTCAACAGTCCTGGAAATTTTAAGAGCCTCTTCAAGTTTACAGGAAACCTCTTTGGCCTCCATAGCAAATAGACAAATGGAAACTCACCTATATTGACAAAAGAATAAGCAGAGATTTCACTTGAATTAGTGGGATTTATATGCATGCAAACTAACTACATTTACCTGACAACAAATAATGCTGTGATGCTAGTTCGGCAGTTTAACTTCTCAAACACCCACATCAGCAGTCTTCCATTCTTTCAAGTTTTTTATTATTATTACTAGAGGCCCGGTGCACAAAAATTTGTGCACTCGGGGGGGAGGAGGGGTCCCTCAGCCCGGCCTGTGCCTTCTCCCAGTCTGGGACCCCTCGGGAGATAACGACCTGCTGGCTTAGGCCTGCTCCCGGGTGGCAGAGGGCAGGCCCAATCCCTAGGTGCAGCCCCTGGTCGGGCTCAGAGCAGGGCCGATTGGGGAGTTGGGGTGCTGCCCCCTGTCATGCACAGAGCAGGGCGGATCGGGAGGTTGTGATGCCACCCTCAGTCACACTCAGGGTAGGGCCGACTGGGGGTTGGGGCACCGCCCCCTGTCACACTCAAGGCAGGGTTGATGAGGAGGTTGGGGCACCACCCCCTGTCACGCACAGGCAGGGCCAATCAGGGGGTTGGGGCACCGCCCTCTGTCACACACAGAGCAGGGCGGATCAGGGGGTTGGGGCACCGCCACTCTCACACTCAGGGCAGGGCCGATGGGGAGGTTATGGCTCTACCTCGTCACACACAGAGCAGGGCCCGTGGGGTGTGGGGGTTGGGGCGCCGCACCCTGTCACACACAGAGCTGCAGGGCGATCATGGGGTTGCGGAGCTCCCCCTATCAGGCACAGAGCAGGGCTGATCAAGGGGTTGGGGAGCTCCCCCGTATCAGGCACAGAGCAGGGCTGATCAGGAGGTTGGGGCACCTTCCCCTGTCACGAACAGAGCAGGGCGAATAGGGAGGTTGTGGCCCCGCCCTCTGTCACACACAGAGCTGCAGGGCGATCAGGGGGTTTGGGCGCTGCCCCTTGTCACACTGATCCCGGTGCCAGGAGGTCTCTCGGCTCCACTGATCCCGGTGCTGGGAGGCATATTACCCTTTTCCTATATCGGATAGAGTCCTGGTGCATGGGTGGGGCTGGCTGGTTTGCCCTGAAGGGTGTCCTGGATCAGGGTGGGGGTCCCCACTGGGGTGCCTGGCCATCCTGGGTGAGGGGATGATGGCTGTTTGCAGCTGGTCACACACCCTTCAGGGTGGGGGTCCCCACTTGGGTGCCTGGCCAGTCTGGGTGAGGGGCTGAGGGCTGTTTTCAGGCTGGCGAGTGACTGAAGCTCCCAACCGCTCCTTTTTTTCTTTTTATTTATTCTGGGCCAGCTTTAGCTTTGAGGCTTGGCTCCAGCTCTTAGGCCTCCATTGCTGAAAGCAGGTTTCTGGCCTCTGTTTACCTTCTGTATTTGAAACAATGTTGCGATCCTGCTGGCTGAAGCCCAGCGACTAAGGCAGGTTTCTGGGGTTTTGTTTAGCTTCTATATTTGTAACATAGTTGCTTAGAGTTGCAGCTCAGAGGCTGGCAGCGGCAGGCGGGGAACGTTGGAATCCTCTGTCACTGAAGCAAGCAAGCCTCATGTTCACTTTAAGCTGCCTGGCTGCCAGCCGCCATCTTGGCTGGCAGTTAATTTGCATATCTTGCTGATTAGCCAATGGGAAGGGTAGCGGTCGTACGCTAATTACCATGTTTCTCTTTTATTAGATAGGATTATTAAAAACTGAAAGAAGACCTATAGTTTTGAACTTCAGTTACATTTTCTGAAATAATAAATATGAGGTTTCTAAGTTAGCAGAAACCCATTGGAGGTTTTGAAGTAGAGAGAAATATGATGCAATTTATATTTTTAAAAGAACTCTTGAGCTAATGTCTGTAAAATGGGCATGGGTGGTCTCAGAGTGAAAAAAAAAGACTAAAAGGTTATGGCAGCTCTCTTGGTGTCAGATGAATGAGTTGGAACAGGACAGTGATGGCAAACCTATGACACGCGTGTCAGAGGTGACACGCAAACTCATTTTTTTGGTTGATTTTTCTTTGTTAAATGGCATTTAAATATATAAAATAAATATCAAAAATATAAGTCTTTGTTTTACTATGGTTGCAAATATCAAAAAATTTCTATATGTGACATGGCACCAGAGTTAAGTTAGGGTTTTTCAAAATGCTGACAAGCCGAGCTCAAAAGGTTCACCATCACTGGAATAGGAGCATGGGAAAAAGTGGTGATAAGTGATCAGATTTGGTAAATATTTTTGAATTGACCTCAGTGGGACTTCCTGGTGGATTGGAGGAGGACCTGGGAGAGGTGGTATAAAGAGTGGAATCATGAATGACTTTTAGGTTTGGGGTTTGAGCCACTGGATGAATGCTGGTGTGGTTGTATGAACAGAGAAGATTTTGCAGGTATGGAGCAGAAGCAGCATTTCTGTTAGGTATCCAAAATGTGAAGCTGCCCATGAAACAGCAGCAGGGAGAGATGACTAATAGGGAGTTGATTACGTGTGTTTGGTAATTAGGATGATTCCTGGGCAGGTATAAATTTATTCCTTGAGCCTGAATGAGATTTTTCTAGGAAGAGGGAGAGAGAGTATAGATAGGAAAGAAAGGAGGAGGAAGCTTGAACTCTGCTGCATTGTAGCATCTACAGAACAGAATGGCAGAAGAATCCAGCAAAGTTGCAAACAAGGAGACGCCAGTGAGGGTGAAGGAACACCAAGAAAGCACAACATCGCAGGAGACAAGTGAACAAACTATAAACAATGCATGAGCTTGAGGGAGTGCTCCTGGACATGCGAGTCTATGTGTACTAATCAGGACAGGTCCCTGGAGCTGCAGGAACAAATGGTCCAACAACCATTCATTTCTCACTCAAGCTACATGTGCAGCTCAGGTGGCTGGGTGCTCTGTTCGTAGTAGTCACATGGGCGGGTGGAAGTTCTGTTTTGATTTATGCTTCCACGGTTGACAGGGCAGGGGAAAAGCTACATCATGGTCATATAATGGCTTTTAAAATTCTACTTGAAAATAACACAAACTACTTCCTTTCACATTTTATTGGACAAAGGAACTCAAGGTCACAGCTAACATCAGAAGAGGTAAGCCAGGGCAATGTCATCGTGTTGCCAGAAGGAGATGAAAATGGGGTGCCTGCACACAGTGGGTTTCTGGTGATAAATGGAAGAAAGTGGGATAATCGAGGTGCTGTTCATTACCTGTAGATATTTAGAGACCAGAACAGGTTTTAAAGAAAGTGCTACATTTATTTGCCTTTTCCCTGCCTTCAAAACTAGCTAGGATGTGTGACTTTCATTCATGTCATTTCACAATTTCAGTAGGAAATTGAGGATTGGTTGTAAGTTCCAGTGTTCTCTCTTCAGAGGGAGGTCAGATCCTTAAGCACACCACACCTTCGGCGTGAGTTCTCTTAACACCCAGGTGTCTGGCCAGTCAGAAGACGGAGACTTTAACAGATAACTTAATAGAAAGAACTGTTGACTAAGTAAAAACTGATTAACTATAGGAACCGGTAAAAAGAGGACTTTGAGGTTTAACAAGAGCAGCAACTGTAGATGATAGTTACCAATATGAACAAGGAGAGAATTGGGAAACTTGGAGGGGTGCCCTGCAGAGCTGAGAGTCAGACCTCGGGGTTGGAGGGGTGGTGGGTGGCAGAGCACTGCCTGCCCCTGAGAGGAAAGTCGCTGGAGACGACCTGCCTTGGACCCTGAGAGCCACAGCCCCGGTGTGAACTCCGCAGGGACCATCACTTGCCCGAGGAGTGGATTTCACAGGAAAACAAAAACAAAGGAAAAGAATAGTCTGTTGTGGATTGATTTGTATCCTCCCAAAAAGATTTATTGAAATCCTAGCCCTCGTTACTTATGACCATGACCTTATTTGGAAAGCGGTGCTGTTTTTGTTTTTGTTTGCAGATGTAATTAAAATGTAAGATTAGATGAGGTCATACTGGAATGTGGTCCTCAATCCAATGTGATTGTCATCCGTACAAGAAGGGGAGGAGAGACACAAAGCCAGACACACAAAAGAGAACACCAGGTGAAGATACAGATACACCGAGGGAAAAGGGATGTGACAATGGGTGCGATTGGGGTGGTGCATCTACGAGCCAAAAAAATCAGGGTTTGCCAGAAACACCAGAAGCTGAAGAGAGGCAGGGGGCAGAGTCTCCCTTAGAAGCTACAGAAGAAACAAGTATTGCCCACACCTGGATTTCAGAGTTCTAGGCCCTGAGAGACTACGTTTCTGTTGTGTTAAGCCTCCCAGTCTGTGGTCCTTTGTTACGACAGTCTTAGAAAACAGGCACAAGTCCCTTCCTCTTCCAGCCTTGCCGCCTTCCACCAGGGCCGCCTGTTTGCAGGCAAAGGAGAAATGAGGTTTGTGGAGTGCCCAGTTCACAAAGCAGGAGAGAGCAGGGTGAGCGTGGAGCGAGGAGGCACTGAAATCATAACTGGTAGAGGCTGGGAGACAGCAGACAGGTCGAAACCTTTAATGATGCTCAGTTTCCCCACATAGATAGAGAAATACTGTGGGGCCTTCTAGGGGGGTTGTGAGGATAAATGTGAAGTTGGCTTAGTTTAGTATATGCAAAAAGAAAGACCTTCATAAGATTCCTCTTCATAGACTTAATATTTTTAGCATGAGTTGAAACCAAAGGAAGATATTGGATTTCCCAAGGGAATTTAGGGCACACCCACCTTTCCTTTAGGGGAAATAACGGCATGATAAAATTTCAACTCTCCTGACAATTTAAAGGCCCTGATTCTGGAGATGGGTGGGTGCACATTTGTAACCCCTGGAAATTCATCCAACGAAAGAGGGTACATTTGAAATAACTCCCCAAACTGTCTAGATTAATGTAAATCCTTTATCCTGTCAGCATCTTTGCTGAAAAATTGGACTTGAGAAGAAAAACAGAACAATTTTTAAAACAAGGAATGTTATATAACAAACATCAGCAATGCCAACATCAAAAACACTGGCTGCTTTAGCTCTTCCAGAGAGTGCCTTCTGCTGCCTCAAACCTGTCTGGGTTGGTTTATTGCTCCCTGAACACATGGCACAT